CCCCCTCCCTCTCCCTCTCTTTCTGGGATGGGGGTTAGACAGGGTTTCTTCTTTGTGTAGCCCTAACTATCCTGGAACTCACTCAGTAGACCAGGCTAGCCTCAAACTCAGAAATTCGCTTGCCTCTGCCTCCTGAGTGCTGAGGTTAAAAGCATTCCCTACATACCCAGCTCTGTTTCCTTTAAACACCGTGAGTTAGATAACTGTAGAGAATCTTATTCATATATAGTATGCATATGATGGAAACAAAAGTAAAGCGCAGATTATAAAAATGCTTCTAAAGACAGCATAGTATTTCTGTGTGCCTACCATTATCTTCACAATATTAAGCTGAAGTGCAAAAAAAAAAAAAAAATGCACGAGTGAATGCACCGACATTCCTAAAGAGTATTTCAGAAGATACCAACCCATGGAAAAAGTCTTCTTCCAGTTTTCCCTTTTCTGCTTCTTCTTTCCTATTTCACACAGAACATATACACATGTCCGATAACACTTCTGTAATTACGTAATTCTGTATTTGTAAAAGTGGTTTCTGTCATGATTTAAGACTCCTGCATAGTCCGAGTCTGGGTAACACTTCTGTAATTACGTAATTCTGTATTTGTAAAAGTGGTTTCTGTCATGATTTAAGACTCCTGCATAGTCCGAGTCTGGGTTAACAGGCTCGTCCTCACTCTGTGAAAACATCAGTGACCTGCGGCCAAGGCCATCAGAAGCGTCACCCTGTGCAACTGCATGTTGTTTAGTTTTTCTTCTACGGTAGACAGTTGGTCCAGCTTCGGATTTTCTGGGACTGAGACTCACCACATAAACCAAGCTAGCCTGGAACGCACTGGATAGCTGAGGCTGGATGCTAACTCACAGCAATCCTCCTGTCCCTGTGCCCCCGAGTGCTGGGACTACCAGCATGTGCTATACTGCCGCTCCAGCGGTCTGCTGTTCTCTCTTGACACCGCTATTGCCTCCTCACGCCATTTCCCCGCCTCTTTCCCTCACCTCCCTCACGTCTGGGACACGATGCCAGGCCTCAGACCTGGAGACCCGCTCCCATCCCCACTCACTGCTTTCTTTCACACTCGCGACTTCCCCGTCTCCCGCTCACCCTCTCGCCCCACTCGATAGCAATCGGAGATTCGGCCACAACCTGCCTCCTCAGAGCCGCAACGCGAGAGTGAGAGCTTCGCCCCCTCTGCGCAGGTGCCGAGTGCGCGACTCCCAGCAGGCACCGCGCGAGCCACGTGATCAGTCTGGAGCCGTTCTTCCGCTTATTTCCCGCCTTTTTCTCCCACCATGGAATCTTCGAGAAACAAGAAAAGTCCCTTCCCACACTATGGAGAAGGAAGAATAAACTTCAAAACTGGTCTCTAGGGAGGAGAGAGGTGTTGCTCTGGGACGCCGCTGGGCTCGGGCCAGGGCCAGGGCTCTCAGCCAATGAGCATTAAATATTTCCCACCAGCTCCTCTCCGGCAAGAGCATTCTGGCCGTAGGGTGTGCTGACACAGGAGACTCAGCCGGTGCCTCCAGCCCACAGTCTCTGTCAGTGTCCCTCTTTGTCCTTGGTGCTACCAAACTCTCTGAATCACACCCTTAAAGAAAATAAGTTTATGAATTAAAACAAAAAAAAAACAAAAACAAAAAAACAAAACTCAGTTAAATTGGCTGACCCAATTATCCTTCAGAAAGTATTTAGTAATTGACATGAATCATACACTCCCGACTTACCTTTACTGGGTCTGTCACGCGCTGACTTTGACCTGCAGTTTCACAGACAACTTCCTAAACTCTCTCGTTTCAGTTAGTTGACCTGGTGCAGAACCAAGTATATTGCCTCGTAAAACAAAGGTCAATGGCACGCCTCCATGAACTCTAGGTGCCTAGTTTTTACATTTTAGAAGGCTGTTATTTAACACGTGGGGTTTTGTTTTGTTCCTTTTGTTTATTTAAAGGTTAGCATCAAGGCTGGGATGTGAACAAGAGATATAGAGCATTGGCCTAACTAGAATGTTCTTGCTTGATATGGTAGGTGGCAGGGTACTTGAAAGTTCATTATCTGTGTTGAAATTTTTACTGTCTGTAGTACTATAATGGGGGAAAGTTACACATCTTTTCGTAAAGTTGATTTTGTTCATTTTACAGGACTTTTCTGGCCTTGGGTTCATTCTCCAGCTCCCATAAACCAGTGCACACATGTAAATCCAGCACTAGGGAGGTGGCGACTAGAGGAGAGGAAGTTTAAGGTCATCATTTGCTACTTTTGAAGATATCCAGGGATACATGAGATCATACCCAAGTTGTTTGTTTGTTTTTTTTTTAATCCCTTAGAAGAATTCGTTAGAGCCGGGCAGTGGTGGCACACGTCTTTAATCCCAGCACTTGGGAGGCAGAGGCAGGCAGATTTCTAAGTTCGAGAGTTCGAGGCTAGCCTGGTCTACAGAGTGAGTTCCAGGACAGCCAGGGCTACACAGAGAAACCCTGTCTCGGGAAAAAGAAGGAGAAGGAGAAAGAGAAAAGAGAAAGGAGAAAGGAGAAAAAAGAGAAAAAGGAGAAAAAGGAGAAAAAGGAGAAAAGAGAAGGATCCATTAGAAAACTATGGTTTCTCTACTTTTTTTTTGGTATAAACATGAAATAAAAATGTAAGGATTTAACATTTTTTAGCTTTATATTTATATTTAACTTTATACTTAGCAAATGTAAAGTTCTCCACTCAGTATTTATTTGGTTTTGTTTTGGTTTCTTGTGTGTTTTGGAGGCAGTCATGCTTTCTAATCCAAGCTAGACCGGAATTTATAATCTTCCTGCTTCAGTCTTAACCATTCTATATTCTTAATCATCAACACTGTTATTTTTTAAAGTCCATTAAATCAAAAAGTCTGGGTGATGTGTATTATATCTAAACAGGTAATTGTCTATTTGGTTCTTAAAATATTTCAAAGAAAAAAGACCTAATGCATAAATTTTTACCATACTGAAAGAAAACGTTATTTTTTTTGTTTTAATGTTACCTTCATTGTATGATAAATGAGCAGTGAGCGGGTATGGAGGGTTATGGTTAACCAGTGCCTTAGATTATTCCAAGGACTGTCAACACGTCTGTAAAATACACAGGGCACAGAAACGTATAGCTTACTCTATATCATAGGGGGGAAAGGTCCCGTAACAGAAATGTACAAATTGTTACTGGACATTTCTAGAGCTGGAAGAAGCTTTCTGGCATTGCTCCTGGTCTGTTTTATATGTGCTGGAGATTGAACCCAAAGCCGTGTTCTTGCTAACTGAATGTTCTACAGCTGGGCTAACACTGCTGATCATTCTGTGTCACTACTTCATTCAGTCTTTCAGATCACTTGGAGAATGAAAACTTGCTATTTCAAACTCAGTCACACTGGTGTTTCTACCACATTCTTTAAAATACTAATTTTTCCTTCTGGTAATTGACCTCACCAAGCCCTTCCAGTCATCTCACTACAAACTTCCTCTGTAATTGTAGCTATGGACATGATATTTTCATGAATTTAGGAAATGAAAATTGTACCCTGCTTTTAAAAAAAATAGACAAAACTTCAAAAACTACCTTCTTACACAGCAGTTTATTTCCTAACTTTAGAAGCTCTCATACAATTTCTGTAGTGGCAAAAACAAACAACAACAACAACAAAAAACCCACTTTGCTAATTCCATTGCTAACAAAGCAACAATTTAGCTGTGTCCAAGTTTTTTGGTTTTTTTAAGTCCCTAAGAAATACTGCTACTATTTCAAGGCTATATTTACACTCTGTTCTTTAGAAATAATACTTTAGAGGACTAAATCAATGAGTTAAAGAAAAGCCTTAAAAATAATCACATTTCATATATTTTAAGTCAGAAGTTTGCCACCATCCTAGAATATTTGGTTTGTGTCTGTGTTAGGAGAGGGGAGCCTCTAGGTGTTCCAATGTTACAATACACATGTGGCAGTAAGGGGGCAGTCTAGGATGTCTTTGCCACTGCATAACCCAGGCTATCCAGCCCTGGAGCTTCTGGAGATCCTTCTGCCCACCCCGCCCCGTCCTTGTTTCCTCTAAGTACACTGGGATTAGATGTTAAAGCTACTGTGTCCAGCTTTTAGTCAAATTATTACTCAAGTTTCTTGTTCAAAAAAGTTCTAATGGTGGGGCTGAGGAGAGAACTCAGCCAGTAAAGTTCTAGCCACACGAGATGAGGACCTGCATACAACTAACTCACATTAAAAAATAACAATAATGCCTGGCATAGGGCCAGTGAGATGGCGCAGCACGTAAAGGTACTTCCTGCCAAGCCTAACAGCCTGAGTTCAGTCCCTGGGGCACACAGGCTGTAAGGAGCGGATCTACTCCTGCAAGTTCTCCTCTGACCTCCATATGTGTACTGTGGCACATAGCAAGCCCTCCAAACACACAAACACACACACACACACACAGAGAGAGAGAGAGAGAGGAGAGAGAGAGAGAGAGAGAGAGAGAGAGAGAGAGAGAGAGAGAGAG